TAAACCCCCAATTTTATAGATCAAAAAATAGGTTCAGAGAGGTTATGACTAGTCCAAACCCAGATCCATACCCAGGTCTGTCTGGCTTCAAAGCTCTAGGCTGTCATCTTTCTATACCAAAATAACAATGAAACAAAGCATAACTTGGAATCAATCCAGAGGGATTGGGGTCTGCTTTTTCATCTCTAAATCCCAAGGCCTGGGAATACAGGTATTTATTGACTATTATGAATTTATTACAGGAAAATGCTTTGGTAGTCCTTTGGAGTTTATTATATAGTGATAGCTCAATTCACATAGTTCCTAAAAAGGGTCAATGAAGTCAGCTATGTTTTCTTTTTTTTTAAAATTGGTAAATGTGCCTTACTTAGGTATAGAGGAAGATAGGGAAGATGAGGAAAATTTCTTGTCTTCAGCACAACGTATTGCCTGTGATAGTATTTACCATGTAGGTGCTCTGAAGCCCCTGTGCTTTGCAGACCTTAAGGTTGAGGACAATCCTGGAGGCCCAGAAGGCTTTGAAATTATATCTTTTGTCATTCATTTTGCTTCCTGTTGTTTTCTGGAAATGAATCACCTGTCAGTGAAATTCTTTGAATGCCTTTAAAACAATCATTAGATTGGTCTGCTGATACGTATTCTTTAAATTTATATAGGTAAGCTCTTCTTTAAATATTGAATTATCAGTAGGTTTTATCTAGTCTTGTATATATTTGCTGTGTTGCATTGCCCTCATCAAGTAGATAATTTACCTCTTACAAACCTTATCAGAGTATTTAACTACTAAGACAGTTTGTTTTTAATTTATTCAGCAGTATGTGAAAGTAAAGATTTACCTGATACAGTTAGAACAGTGTTAAAACAAGAAATGAATCGTCTTTTTGGAGCAACAAATCCAAAGAATTTTAATGAAACTTTTCTGAAAAGGAATTCTGATTCATTGCCACACAGATTATCAGGTAATCACTTTATTTTATCCCTCTCTTAGCCTTCTAAAACCACTTCAGTATTTATTTTAATAGATAAGTGAAAGGTAGGGTACACATTTTTAGCACAGAAAGAGGCATTGTGTATATTTTACATTTTAATCCTGTGAAAATAGGCAGCTTAAATATGCTTCCTAAGCTGTGTGCGGTGGTACACACCTGTAGTCCCAGCTATTTGGGAAACTGAGGTAGAAGAATCACTTGATCCCAGGAGTTCAAGCCAATCTGGGCAACATAGCAAGACCCTGTCTCAAATATATACGTACATACACACACACACATTTTCTACACATTTTTAAATTTCTTAAGACAAAATTATTACTGTGAATCAAGGTCAGTCATCTCTCTTGGCTCAGCACTGGCATTACAAAGAAGCAAGTATAACTAAATTTAAATGTATATCATACAATAGAGGAGGAGCTTTTTCTTTTATTTCATTATATTCTTATAATTCACTCAAATGTGACCATCATCTTCCATTTCTCATGCTTATTGTTGGTATCAAATTTGACAGTGGTAAACACCTGGAACCATCTGATAGTTTATGGGAAAAATCTGGACTTTATGGGACCATGTGGGTAGTGCTTTAGTGGTATGCTTTCAAAATACCTGGCTAAGAAGCCCAGCAGCTTTGTGTGCCTTTGTGGAATCCTGAACTCAGTTTTTTGGCACATAGTATTGAGATTGGGTATTCCCTTCACCCCCAAATTATTATGCTCATTTTAGAAAGAAGACTATCCATGGTCCCACCACAGAGTATTATTACTAGAATATTTGTATTTCTTCATAGTCTCTTTTACTGTGCATATTTTATGTATACATTATATTTTATTGGATAGATATACATGATATACCTTAATCATTTTGACAGTTTACCTATTTTTGACGATTAGGCTATTTCTAGTCTACCCTCAGGATTTTTTTTTTAAATAACAGTATGTCTGTGGCTATTCCCATTTTTCGAATAAAGTGCCACGCCCTGTGTGCACATATAACTTGCATTTTATATTTGAATAGGTAGAGGAAAAGATGTTGGTTTTACTTGAAATAAAACAAATTTCCTTTCCCCTTCTCATTTAGCTGCCAAAATGGTATATTATTTAGATCCTTCTAGTCAGAAGCGAGCTATAGAGTTGGCAACAACACTTGATGAATCCCTCACTAACAGAAACCTCCAGGTAAAGAGTTTTCATCATCTCTACGTAAGGATACCTAACTACTTTTTGTTTCTCTTTTCACCAAGAAAAATAACTTTTTTGTTGCTTGTATGTACTCTTCTTCAAACCATTAAGAATCTATGTCAGAAATAGCTCATCTGAAATTTATTTAGGGTTTTGTGTATATATATATATACACACACACACACACACACACACACACACGCACACCAGGCTACTTGGCATTCAGTAACTAGTTTCACATCTGTAATTTGGAATAACTTTTTTAGAAATATGTTTTAATAAAAGCATATGTACATTTCATATGTTATTTTTAGATTTCAACTCGTCTCTGCATTTCTGAGCAAGCAGTGGTCTCAGTGAATATTCTGACATATTTAAGGTTTATTTACCAGGGGCTAAATTATTAGGTTGATGCAAAAGTAATTGCAGTCTCTGACCATGAATGTTAAATCATTATAACTAGGCTCAAATACAACTTTATTAATCAAAATAGGAACCATTACAATCATCACATTTTTGCCAATGAGAAATAAGTTTGTTTATCTCTGTAGCATAAAAATCCGTGCTTCAGAATTCGATGAACTCTTGGAAAGCATTTTCTGCATCCTGCTGGTTGTGGAAGCATTTTCCCTGCAAGAAGCTGTCGAGATGTAGTCGGTTGATGATAGGTCAGATGAATGTGGCAGATGAGGCAAAACTTCATAGCCCAGTTCGTTCAACTTTTGAAGCGTTGGTTCTGCGATGTGCGGTCGGGCGCTGTCATGGAGAAGAATTGGGCCCTTTCTCTTGACCGGTGCTGGCTGCAGGCATTGCAGTTTTCAGCACATCTCATTGATTTGCTGAGCATACTCCTCAGATGTAATGGTTTCGCCAGGATTCAGAAAGTTGTGGTGGATCAGACTGGCAGCAGACCACCAAACATGACCCTTTTTTGGTGCAAGTTTGGCTTTGGGAAGTGTTTTGGAGTTAGTTCTCAGTCCACCCACTGAGCTGGTGGTTGCCAGTTGCCACTTTTCATTGCACTTCACAATCCGATTGAGAAATGGTTCGTTGTTGCATACAATAAGTGAAAGCGACACTTCAAAACAATGATTCTTTTGATTTTCAGTCAGCTCATGAGACACCCACTTAACGAGCTTTTTCACTTTTCCAACTTGCTTCAAATGCCAAACAACTGTAGAATGGTCCACAAGGAGTTCTTCGGCAACTTCTCATGTAGTTGTAAGAGGATCAGCTTTTACGCTTGCTCTCAGTTGTTGTCAACTTCCTATGGCTGGCCACTGTGCCCCTCATCTTCAAGGCTCTTATCTCCTTTGCCAAACTACTTGAACCACCACCGCACTGTACGTTCGTTAGCTGTTCCTGGGCCAAATGTGTTGTTGATGTTGCGAGTTGTCTCCACTGCTTTATGACCCATTTTGAACTCGAATAAGAAAATTGCTCGAATTTGCTTTTTTGTCTAACATAATTTCCATAGTCTAAAATAAATATAAAATAAACAAAATAAGTCATCAGCAAAAAAACAGAAGGCAAAAAATAGGCATTAAAATGATGTATAACATAACCGCATTTATTTAAGAATGTATTCCAGTATCATGTAACAGCAAATTTCAACAATGCTAAAACCGCGATTACTTTTGCACCAACATAATAAAATACTCATTTTATAGCTTGTAATACAATATGAGATTAAATAGAGTAAAAGATAATA